GAAGGACTCATTTCATAATGATCTTGCAATAAATGAACCTTGAGGGAGAAGCCTTCTGTTTTTGAAAGACTTGTTGAGTCTCCCAACTGGTATCTTTCATTCCCTTCAGTCCTGATCCCCCCTAGTTGGAGGGCTTCTCCAGACTCCCAGCATCCTTCAGGTCTGGGTGACAGTTGACTTCTTCTATAAGCCAACTTTCCTGAAAGAGCCCATCCACGTGGTTTTCTTTTTCTCTGAATTCCTAAAGAAGTATGTCCTCCCTGTTCAGGCCGTTGTGTGTGGAGCAGGCCACGTTGGATTCTAACAGAAACTGCAGACTTTCTCCCCAGAAAGATGAGCATCTACGTACAATAATAGGATATCCTGTGTGCACTTCCCACAGACCACGGATGCTCAAAGTCCCCAAACAGGGACCTCCTAGGGGTCTGGAGCCCCGGGTCTCCTCCTGTGAGGAAAAGAACCTAGACCTTGGGTTTCCAGACTCTCAAGGTCAAATGTGACTCTCCCTTTCATTCTCTTGTCATCTTCAGAAATATGCTTAACCACCTGAACCTCTTTGTCTTCCAATAAACTCGGAGATACGTACAGCTACCTGACGGGTAGTATTTGCCCTACCTTCATGAGTACGTGTCCAATTGGTAAACCCTTTCCTGCGTCGTCATCTGGTAGCCAAGACCTTGGACCCTCCCTTGCTGTGCCCCAACCAGACCCCCCTCACAGAAATGAATTCAGATGTCACAACACTCAACGTGCTGCACAGTAACTACATCACGTCCCAGGAGGCGTCGCTTTTCAGTGACCTCTAGGGAGGCTAAGGGAGGCGTGTGTGTGTGTAGGATTTAAAGTAAACCTAAACTTTACAATATCTACAAAAACCCTAGTTTTAAGTAATAAGCATGTTTACACATTATTGTTTGACCTCCTCTGTGTGATGCTACTCTCTTACCCGGAGATTTCTTTTTCTCAACTATCTCATAGCCATGATCACTTTTTCCTTTAATTGTAAAAAGCTGTATATGCCTGGCCAGCACAGCCAAGGGTTCGGTGAGCCTGAGTGGGGGCAGCGAAGGATTAAAGAAAAGACAGACAAAGAGAATAAGCTGGGTCTAGGTCAGCCGTGGGCCCATGCTACTCTCTTACCCGGAGATTTCTTTTTCTCAACTATCTCATAGCCATGATCACTTTTTCCTTTAATTGTAAAAAGCTGTATATCCCTGGCCAGCACAGCCAAGGGTTTGGTGAGCCTGAGTGGGGGCAGCGAAGGATTAGAGAAAAGACAGAAAAAGAGAATAAGCTGGGTCTAGGTGGATCTCCTGTGCCTGGCTGAGGCCACAGAGAGAGACCCAGAAGGCAAATTGAGTCTTTATTTTATAGCCAGAGGTAAACAAGGTAGTGGTCACCATAGTTACAATGTTCTTGTGAGTTTCACTTGTTTTGGCAGCACTTGCTGCACCTCCCACAGTCCATTAGCTACCTAGGAAGGATCTAGGGAGCGTCATAAGGTCAAGCTTAATTATGCTAAGAGGGCTGTGCCCTCTAAGCTGGGACTTGTTTGTGGCTTTGCCACCAGGTCAGTCCAAGGCTTAATCCTATAGTTGCTCCCTACAGCTGTACTTTCCATTTGTTTTATTTTTTGAAAACCACATCTTGAAAGAGACCCATTTTTCTCCTTTGTTTTAATTCTCAGAAGCTCAGGCCCGAATTGATAAGCCATCTCCAGCAAATTTGAAGGTCTTATGGCCTAGAAGTCATGCTCCTCGCCTCTCTACCTTTATCTTCCTCGTCTATTCTTATTTTTCTCTTTCCTCCACTTCCATTATGTAAGTATTTGTATTCTCTAATGGTATGTAACTTCTCTTAAATTCTTTTACTGAACAAGATAAAATATTTAAAAATGGTCTTCATGTGAATTAGCTGAGCTATCTCACTAGGAACGTGGTGTATAGCAATGTGTTGTGCCTGCACCGAGGAGCTGTTAGAAAAGAGTAGACAGCCTCTGGCATGAGGATGCGTCTGGGGCTTAGTGGAAGTCCCATGGGTGAGGGACCTTTCCATGTGGAGCCCTGGGTCCAATTCCAAACAACCATTGTCTCTACTCAGGGACCATCCGTGTGATGTTAACTCGCTTTGCACTCCTTCAACCAGAACATACTTGCATGGATTCTTGTAGACCTTGGAGGAAGCAGGATGCATCAAATCTTTTGCCATTGCCTGGCAGGTATGGCCCAGTGGTTGAGTGTCAACCTATGAACCAGGAGGTCACGGTTCAATTCCCAGTCAGGGCACATGCTCGGGTTGTGGGCTCAGCCCCCAGTGGGGGGTGTGCAGGGTGCAGCCGATGAATGTTTCTCTCTCATCATTGATGTTTCTATCTCTGTCTCCCTCTCCCTTCCTCTCTGAGATCAATAAAAATATATTTTAAAAAAACTTTTGCCATGAAGGAGTTGAAATGATTTTGTCCTTATTCAAGGAGCTTGTGTTGAAGTGAATGTCTTCTAGGTTCCCTACATCTGGACCGGACCCCTAATACTACCCAACATCCCACAGTCATTGGTGTCAGACATCCAGAATAGTGGGAGTTCCTTAACTGGCCTTGCCTGATGTAAGCTACATGTTCCAAAATATTGGACCATATCAGGCAACCAGCTCAGATAACCTCTGAACAGATAGAAGTCCACAGCCAGCTCGTATCTGGGTGTATTTCCACATCCGTTCCTTTCAGTCTGTTCCCAATTTTAAAGGCTTGACATATTTCCCACCTAGGTCCTCTGACAGTAAAATCATGCACAGGACAGAATTCTAGGAGAAAGCTAAATCCACTCCGGTCCCTTGTGACACATTAATAGCACAAAACGAGGGAAATTAAGAATATTTAACTTCCATTACGGCATTTCATCTGAAAGGCGAGCTGCTACGATGCAGCAGGATCATCTTCCTATAAGAAAAGCCTGGATTAGAACTGGTCATTAAGTTGGAAACAGATTCTTTCCTATAGACCCAGAGGGTTTGTGAAAGTTGCCCAGTGGCAGGGATGAATTATATCAGTTCCGAATTTTAATTTGCTAGAACCTACCCCCTACAAGGTTTTGTTCAAAAGCATCTTAAAAGGAGGTGTGCATAAAAGCAAGGGAGGAAAAGAAAGTCAGAAAGAATAGGGAAGATTCTTTTGGAAGGAAGAAGCATGGCATTTGCCTCGTGTGTGTGTGTGTGTGTGTGTGTGTGTGTGTGTGTGTGTGTTCATGCTCAAAACGTGTATATACTTTAAGGTGGGAGAGTTCTAAGAATTATCCAGTCCAGCTGTCTGCCCAACATATAGCTCATTTCTACAATATTTTGAAGGGTTGATATAGCTTATTTCTATTTAAATATCACCAGTGATGAGAAGCTCAGTATTTCTCAAGGCAAATAATTCAATATTCAGACAACCATAATGGTTAGAAATTTTTTCATGATCTTGAATGAAGATCTCCCTCATCATTCCCCCTTCCCTAGCGCCACATACAACCTGTCTAATGTATCTTTCTTAGGAGAATCCTCAATAATTATTTGAAGGCTGTTGTGATCATGAGGATGAGGGTGGTGGTGGGGCTGATCATCATCATGTAACAGTACATAACATGTCCTGAGCAGTCCCCATAAGGGCTATGCTAAGCACTTTCAGTTTTATCTCGTTGATCCTCACGAGCTGATGAAATACGTACATTTAACAATTGATTTTCCAAAGGAGAAAACGGAGGCTTGGAGAGTGAAGTAGCTTGCCCTGGAAAACAGCCGGCGGGAGCCAGCTAGGATTGGAAGCAGGCCTCCCCAAGTGGGCTCTTTGCTAGCTTCGTCAGTCGCTGACGCCACGGGTGGTGGCTGCCAGTGTTTGTGTTCTCGGGGGGAGGATTGCGGAGTCTAGATGCTACCACCTGCTGCGCCCACTGCACGGCTTGCTTTCTCATTTCATGCAAGAGGCGTCCTTTTAGTGTGTTCTCACCACATCTCTCTTACAGTGGCCTTTAAAGGAATTCCTGTATCGGCATAAATACCGTAATACCGTCGGAAGCCACACGCCTGGAAAATTGCAGCCCTGTAGTTAGTTCTCTTCTAGAGCCCAGTGGTTTTTCAGGTTGATCTCTCCCCAGCTGAGGCGTCTGAGGCACGAGCCAGGGAAATGCCTGGCAAGGCACGCAGCACCCACATTGGATGGCGCCTCCCTCACCAAGTGCTGAGTGAATGAGGGGGGCGGGGAGGGCCTCCCCAGGATAGTTACTGTCTAGAGCAGTAGAGGTTTTGCTGTTGACTTAAATAATAACTACATCTGGCCTTTTCTTTTCTTTTTTTAGGGTGACATTGCAGCTGTGTAACAAGTTTGTATTTCTCTGTAGGTCTGATTCATTTTTGCCAATGCTGTAGGCTGCAATGTCACTGAGAATAAGTTTGGATATTATACTTTCTCATTTTTACATTTCATGAAGAATCCAATCTCATTACCACTGACATGTCAAATTTTGAGAGGCTCTGACTTGCCTGGGACTTGTATCTGTGGGAAACGTGGCCTCCAGTAGAGGCTAAAAGGGGTCGCAGGGGTTGTACATCTGCATTTTCTGAACTCTTCCTCGGGCACTTTAAGAAACTTACCTTTCTGGACAGACATTTTAATAACACCTTCTCTTGCGCTTATCCATTGACATGGTATGTTCCCGCATCAATGGAACAGAAACAAAGCAAACATGAAATATTAACTGTGAGGGATCAGGGAATTAGTGAGAGGGGAGGGGAAATACTGTGTAGACTATACCTAAACTCTGCTGCCTATAACTAAAATACCTGACTCTTTTCATGGAAATAGTGGTTAAGATATTACCCATCTCCCAGTATGAAGATACTTTTTATAGGGTGTTAAGACATAGTTATGGGGCCCAGGGGTATTTATGCAAGTTGTCAAATATGGTCAGTGCTTTCAAAGTTTATTTTTATACTCCTAATGACATTTGGTTTTGTGTTGCTTTTCCTAGGTTTGCTGGCATGGGAAATCTGCTCAAAGTCCTTACCAGGGAAATTGAAAACTATCCACATTTTTTTCTGGATTTTGAAAGTAAGTTTTAAAAACTTAAAGATTATGACAAATACTTCTCATTTTATAGCTTGCTGATAGGGAAGCTTATAACAAAAAATGTCTCCTTTTCCTGTTTTAAAAAACAACAAATGGAACATCTTTTAAAAATATGTACAGTTTTCTTTTATTTTAGAAGTGATCAGCTTTTGTAAGCTTAGCATAAATCATCATCATGCATTTTTCCTAATAATTTTCATGAATTTCTATCACATTTTAAATAAAAATAGTGTTTCCACCGATTAATGTAAAGCATTAATGTAAAGCATTGGTGGTGAAAGGAAAAAAGTGATCAATACCAGGAATAAGGCTTACAGGTGATTTATTTTTAGTCATCTCTACCACTATTTCAGGATTTTGAGACACATGACTTTTATCTGAAAGGTTATGTTTCTTTTATCAAAAACTTTAAATATTTTTCTAAGATAAAATGGCTTATGAATCATGACTAAATAAACGCAGAGATTCTTTCTTATCTTGTTTATTTTCTTGATTGAAAATATTTACAAGTGAGTGACACATTCATGTTTAATTGACTAAGCTCATGTTTCCACCTTTCCTCCTGTGTCCCCCCTTCTTTTTGAATTAAAATTCTGCAATAGTGGGCACATTCACTTTTAAATGTCATTTTTTTTTGCCAGTATTCATTATCTACTAGGTATTACAGACTTTAAACTTTAATTTTTCAAGTATTTTATCTATATTAAAAATAAGAAGAAACTTCCTTACATGGGGAGTAAACTTCCTAACAGACATTTTCGAGGTAAATGCTAGAAGACCCTTTCAAGGTACAGTACACCAAAAGGTGGAAGCTCTCTAGGAATATCTTTTCAGAATCTCTTCTGGGTCTAAAATAAATACTTAAAAATTAGGAAAATTGATCCCAAAGCTCATGTGTTCTGAAAAAAATATTTAGATTATATTCAGTGAAAGACATCTCACCTCTAATTTAACTCCTTTTACTGCTGCTGTTGTTCTTGTTTGGTTGGTTTTGGCTAGGTTTGGCTGTGTTTGGTTGGGTTTGGCTGTGTTTGGCTGTGTTTGGTTGGGTTTGGCTGTGTTTGGCTGGATTTGGTTGGGTTTGGCTGGTTTGGGCTGTGTATGGTTGGGTTTGGCTGTGTTTGGCTAGATTTGGTTTGGTTTGGTTGGGTTTTGGCTGTGTTTGTCTGGGTTTAGTAAGGTGTGCATATCAGTGGGGAAAAACTAGAGAGCAGACAAGATCTGAGCAGAAGGGAACTTAAGGTAAGTTTATGCCTAAAGGGGGGACATGATTAGTTAGAGGATCCAGGAAAGAGGCCACATTGAAGAGGAAGAAAGATGTCATACTGCACTGATATTCTTGATGGCAGACTCTGGGTCCCACTCAGTTCTGTGACCCAGAACTTAGCTCATGTTGAGCATGGAGCATTGATCACCGAGTGAGACTTAGTGACAAATGCTGGCCATGGGAAGGAATGGGACAGATCCAGGAGGGCACAGATGTTCAAGAAGAAGGGAGTGTAAATGGATTCAAATGCTGCAGTGTGGTCATGAAGGATAGGCTTGAAAAGGGGATGATGAGTGAGGTCATGAGCTGCCCCCCTCCTGGTAGTCACTGGGAGAACAGATTTAAGATTTATTGCTTTGCGTATAGAGGCTGGGTTGCAAAGAGTTAAGTAGTAACCAGCGGAGGGAGGAAGGAAGGCTGAACAGCATGTAGCAACAGCTTAAATGAATTTGGCACCTCAGCTTTGCGTGTTGAATATTCTTTTTGAAGTCAGTGATGGAATATAATTGAACCGGGTCAAATAGATATAATTAAGCTGGGTCAAAATATAACACAAAATTAGACACATCTGTCCTTAGGTTGCCAGTTGTGTAGACCTGACTCAAATTCTTGTTTGACCTTTGTAGTGAGTTCTACTCGTTATGCTCACATTTCTGCACAACCACTTAATATCTCTTTCATTGTTGCTTTTTTTCATCCCACTACTTTTTTTTTCTTTTTCTCTCTCTACTTCCTTGTCATGTCTACATTTCCTCTTTGAAGGCTGGGAGACAGAATGGGAATAAAATGAAACCTGATCTTTCATGAGTAATGTTTTGTTGGGTTTTTTTTGGGGGGGGGAGGGGGCAGTGTATAGAAAAATTTGTGCCTGAAGGTCTACTGATAACTTTAATCAAATTCACCCATTATAGCACCCAAAGTGGGCAGTGGGCATTAACCTTCCAGTGATTGCCAGACTGAAATGACCCTTGGAAACATCTAGCAAACCTTATTTTTCTATAGTTGTCTGTTCCTCACCCCAAAATTCTGATTCAATGGTCTAGTCCTAAGACTCTACTTTTGCCCACATTCCCCAGGTGTGTTTGAAGGTCAGCCAGTTTGGGAACCACATTTAACTAATGGACCCAAGTGAGGCACTAGCCCAGCCTAGTGTGTGGGACCAGAGAGCTAACAAAGTAACCTCTTGAGTTCCCAGATCCAGAGCTGCAGTCTCCAGAATTGATCGCAGAGGGCCCCTCGTAGCTTCCGTCTCCCTATTTTCCCTTGCCCAGCAGGAGTTAGAGCTGGCTGCAAGTCAGAGCTACAACTCGAGAGTGATGCTCTTCCTCAGTCCTTTACACAGTGTCCGTCTACCTTGAAGTGGAAGGTCTCCAAGACAGGTAGAAGCTCAAGTAGATTAGAATCTACATTGTTATCACAGGTATCAGTAGTTCATCCCCCTTATTTAAACCTGCTATGAACATTCTTGTAGAATCTTGGTGGGCATTATTTCTTTTGGAGAAATACCTAGTAGGGGGTTGCTGGTCAGTTATATGCAACTTTGCAAGAAACTGTCGAATAGTTTTCCAAAAGTGATGTACTATTTTCCATTCCTACTAGCAAGATAGGGAGCTTAGGTGTTCTAAATCTTTCACATTTAGTATTGTCAATCTTCACCTTTTTAGTTATTCTAGTGGTTATGGGATGGTATCTCATTGTGGTTTTAATTTGCATTTACATGGTCACTGATAATGCTGAACACTTTTTCATGTGCTTATTGATTATTTGATTATCATTTTTAGGAATGTTGTCTACTCAAGTCTTTTACCCATTTTTAATTGGATTATTTTTCCTTATACTACTAAGATTGTTCTAGCTCAGATAGATTGCTTTAAATCCCTTATCAGAAATTAGTTAACTGTACTTGTCCAAATCAATTTTACAATTAGCTTTAATTTCTACAAAAAAAAAATCTTGCTCAGATATTGATTATAATTATATTCAATCTATAGCTTGGTTTGCTGAGAATTGGCATCTAAACAATATTGAGTCTTCCTATTTATGAATATGGTATATCTTTCCATTTATTTAGATATTCTTATAAGTTCATTTATAGTTTTTGGGATCTTGTATACCTTTTGTTGACTATACCCTGAAGCAGTTTCTAATTTGACCATAACACCTTTTTTATGTTTTGTGTTTGCATGGTATGTCTATGCATTAATCCTATCTATGCATTAATCTATATACTGTATTCTTGCAAACAACATATAGTCCACCCTCGCTTTTCATCCAAGCTGATACTATCTACCTTGTAATTGGAGTACTTAATCCATTTGCATTTAATTATCATATGTACATTTAATTAATGTTGTTATTTGAATCTATCTTGGTGTAGACTTCCATTTGTTACATTTGCTCTTTGTTTCTCTCTTCATGTTTATCTGCCTTTTGATTACATGAAATAATTTTTGGTAGTCTCATCTGTCTTTTCTGTCGACTTTTTATTTATGCCTCTTAGTGCTTATTTTAGATATTATAATATACATCTTTAACTTATGAAAATCTGTCTTCAAAGTATATTCTTTACTTCATGAAGAATTTATGAACCTTATCACAGTATACTTCCAATCACCGCCCTGCCCCCCTTTCTGTGTGGTATATTTTGCTTCTACATATGATATAAACTTCTCATTGCAATTTTTAAATTTTAAACTCCCAGTAACCTTTTAAGTGTGTGTGTGTGTGTGGTTTTAATAGGGTGTGTGGTTTTAATAGATATTTTATGTTTACTTGTTCTGGTGTTCTCCATTCCTTCTTACATAACTAGGTCTCTTTGGTATTATTTCCTTGCAGCCTAAACAGCTTTCCTGTGGAGAGGATTTAGATGGCATCTTAGGCTTCTATCATTATGTGTCTTATCTAGTGTCCAGCACAGGGCTGGGCATGAAGCCTAGGCTTAGGAATTTGGATTTTCTTATTGATGCTAATTCAGTCACTATATTCCGAGCATCTCCAGCATTATAGCATCGAGTGGGAATAACAGGGATGGGAGTTGGTCAGGGAGGCACGGAGGGGTGACATAGCAGACATAAATATAGGGACATTAGAAGAATATGACCTCTTCTTCAAAGAATGTATAATTTTATTGGAGAGATAAGATGCAAGGACATTGAAGAAACATAGTACAGATAATAGAGAAATCTGTACTAGAACAGAGAGCCAGAAGAAATAAAGGTTCTAGGCTGTGCTGAAGATAGTACACAAACACTCCATTCATGCTTTTGTTCCGGCCCTCCGGTCCAGTTTAAGAACCCATTGTGGCCCTCGAGTCAAAAAGTTTGCCCACCCCTGTTCTAGGCTATGCTGAAGATAGTGGCTGATAAATGATTTTCTTATAAGACAAACCAAACCTGATGAGAATAATAGGAAAGCTGAGCACAAACATGGGGGCGAGGTTGTTAAGAAAGAAAATCTAAAGCCTCCAAACCATTTACTACCAGGAAGACTGAATATTTTGACCTATTAGGACTCCAGTCTCTTACTCTTTAAAGCAAAGAGGGTGTCAGATTAGCTGACCATCTGGGATATTTTGGTTGACACAGATCGCTTCTTGCCACGACTGATCTCTTCTTTTATCTGTCCCTCTTTGGTGCCCTCACATCTGCTAGGGTTGTTCAGAGGACACCAGATAATCTTGGAGGGAAAGGAGGAACATAAGATGTATTTTGGTCAC